AAAGAGGGACAATGCAACACAAACCAAGCCACTAAATAAGTATAGGGCATTCGTGTGCGTGGTTGAGAAGTCTTCTAAACTTTCTTCCCAGCAACATTCATCTCCTTGACATCGAGGAGTTCAGAAATCAAATCCCGTAAGCCTCTCTACAGGTAACCTGTCATTGCAGAGAGAAGACTTAGAGGTCTTCCGTGAACCAGAAGAACGGCTGGGTAGACTACCTCAACCAAGATCGATTCAGCTGGTTTCGTCGGCACGACTCACCGCTTCAACCATAGCATCAAGAAGCCAGCAAGAAGGGCCGTGTCAGAGATAGGAATTGCAGCTTGATGATGAAAACTTTCAAATTCGCTGTCAGCTTCAAACCCATCTTCTAAACACCTGTTCCTATAAATAGCATTAGGGGCCTTGATGCGGGCTTTAATGCTCCTAGCAGAACTGACGGCAAGACGGGTCACCTTCGAGTCTTTCTGACCCAGGTTCTGAAATAAGTAATCTACCCAGGCAGTATGCATAAGACCACCACCACGCATCCCAGCGACCTGAGCACAGATGTAGAAATGGCATATCAACTCCCAAAAGGTGTTGTATATCTTCGGATGAGCAGTCTTCAGGAGGGAGAGTTCTTCGGTGGTGGGAATAAATTCTTTATAGGGCGTTTGCCCGAAGGATAATACCGATATCGCATGCATCTCATGGAGAGCAAATCCCAACTCCCCAACAGGTGTGAAAAAGGTGCAGCTATCCGGATTGTATCGCTCCAGCATAGCAAAGAAGTAGGGATAGTTCTGAATGATCCCGCGTCTTGTAGCCTGTACTGGTATCGTGAGGCCAGACTGAGCAAGGGGCTCCTTAAGTTCTTCCAGAACAAAATCCACCATCCGGGTCCACCAGCCATCTTCTCCAGAAAATAACCAGCCAGGAGAACGGAAGGCTTGTGTAGGAAATTCGCCTCGAGCAACAATAAACTTGCGCACGAAAATGTTCGCTGGAAGAGGTGTCTCCTGAGCGAAGCCCTTTTTCTCAAAACAACCAGGTCTCAGACCTTTGAGTTGTCCGCCAATTTGAACACGAGATGATCGACCAGATCCAAACGAGATGTTTTCCTTCTCCTTGACGAGATCGAAGGCCAAGCCCCTGCGACCACCGACGCTCAAGAAGTAGGAAAGAGGGTACATTCTCTTCATGCTTGGAAGAAAGAGTAAACGATCATCAACTCGTCGCAGCATCCGGGAGTCTTCTACATACCCAACTTGTCCATCGGCGGATATATGGTCTCCGAACAAAAATGATGGTTTGACAAACTGGTCCAAACCCGCAGGAGTGTCTAGATCCACATCAGTGATCAGAGCCCTAAGGGTGGAACACCCAGCAAACCTAATTAATTGTGTCCGCTCCAAGCTCGGGAAAGTGCATAAAGGAAGTTCTCTGCGAAGATCAAAAGCTTTCCCCACTTCTAGGTCATCAGTGTAGTTGAAATGCTGCTCCGGTAGAAGGGGCACATTGGGAAAAAGCATTGTAAAGTCAGAAGCAATAGTTAGTAACATAAATAGATTGCTAACACAAAAATTGGAGCATAACACGAAAGACAAATTCTACGTGTCAAGCATTAAATACAAGGGCCAACCCTTGTATCAACACCTGAACGCAGAGGTCAAACCCTGCGTTATCAACACTTGAACGCAGAGGTCAAACCCTGCGTTATAATACTTGAACACAGAGGTTAAACCCTGCGTTATGATATTCAGATGCAGAAGCCAAGTCCGGCGTTCAAACTTCATACCCGAACATAGGAGTCTTAACTCTATGTTTCCTTAAACGCAGAGTCCTAAGTCTGCGTTTTCAATTTTAACACAGAGTCCTAACTCTGCGTTCCCAATTTTAACATAGAGACTTAGCTCTATGATTCCTAAACGCAGGGTCCTAAGTCTGCGTTTTTGGATTTTAAGACGGAGTTGTAACTCTGCGTTTCAGATAGAAATGAGTCATCTTCCTTGTTGATGAGAACCCACTAGGGTTTTCAGAAAACTTGTCGAAACAAGTTGCCATGGCCACCATTTACCACAGCAACGAGGTCCATGCGACAACGACGGTAGTGTCGAAGCGCTTGTCGGAGCAGCGACATCGCCGGTGTTCTCAGCCGGTGACGCTTCCAAAGCCGCCTTGGCGGCCTTCTTGGAACCCGAACTCATCCTCCTGGGTGCCATGTGGGTGGTTAATTGGAGAAGACGGAGTTCGTCAGAAAATTGACCGAAATTCAAACGAGAAATCTCGTTCTTGGAACTAAGCAAGGCAAAAGAGTCGAATGACTCTTGATGTGACCTTACAGGCCTATTTATAACAGCCATCAAGCTGTTAAATCGGTTCGGGACTCTAAGAAAGAATCCCAACCAATTCTGAAACGTAATCTTCCGCGTTAATCGATAAGATCGGTTAGATCTTAACACAGAGTCCACTCCTGCGTTTAAGTCCCAAACGCTAGGCTTAGACCTGCGTTATAAGAGTTCTTAACTCTGCGTTTCGAACTTTCAACGCAAAGGTCACCCCTGCGTTGTGATTATTTAAAACAAAGGACACACTTTTGTATTGGCAAAACATGATAATTATTTCTTAAGTTCATGAACTCTTTTAACATGGCATTGTTAAACTTCTGTATTTCCTCAGCATAGTTTAAATCCCCGTCAGCTTAATATTACACCTCAGACGGATGTCATCCCCACAGAGCTTGAATTTAGTTTACATCGTTGTAACAGTAATTCCTCTGTCAAAATCCACTTATTGATTCTCATTAAGGGAACAATAGGTCTCCAAAATCATTCAAATCATGATCAATTTACTAACTCTCCCTAACAGAGTAGTAAATACTCAGTTGATCAACTCCTTTCAATGGGGTGATAAAATTCCACAATCTTGTTCAAATCACAAGCATCACAACTCATCACTTCGATGATAAATCTGTTAGCAAGTCCTCCCCAGCGAGACACAAAAATATTCTTTTTGTCACGTTAACACTACACCTCTGACAAAAAATCCACTTATCGACTCTCTCCAATAGAGCGATAAGTCACCTCTGACAAAAAATCCACTTATCGACTCTCTCCAATAGAGCGATAAGTCCTCAAAATTGCTCCTATGGCAATATTCTTCTTGTCACGTTAACACTACACCTATGACAAAAATCCACTTATCGACTCTCTCCAATAGAGCGATAAGTCCTCAAAATTACTCCTATAGCAATGTTCTTCTTGTCACGTTAACACTACACCTCTGACAAAAAATCCACTTATCGACTCTCTCCAATAGAGCGATAAGTCCTCAAAATTGCTCCTATGGCAATATTCTTCTTGTCACGTTAACACTACACCTATGACAAAAATCCACTTATCGACTCTCTCCAATAGAGCGATAAGTCCTCAAAATTGCTCCTATAGCAATATTCTTCTTGTCACGTTAACACTACACCTCTGACAAAAAATCCACTTATCGACTCTTTCCAATAGAGCGATAAGTCCTCAAAATTGTTCCTATCGCAATATTCTCCTTGTCACGTTAACACTACACCTCTGACAAGAATCCACTTATCGACTCTCTCTAATAGAGTGATAAAACCTCAAATTACCCTGATCGCAATTTCTCGCATGTCATGTTAAAATCATACCGTTGACAAAATTAATCTATTGACTCTTTCCAATAGATCGATAGATTCCCAAATCTCTGTTATGTTAACAAATCACCTCTAACAGTTCTAACCCGTTTGAACCAGTTGATTCTTCTACAAAGGAATAACGAGTGTTCATATACCCATCCCCAACAAGTTAAAATTTTTTCTAGAATTATCTTAGATAATTATAAAGAAAATTTTAAAAATTGGGCGTTTTCCATATAGTTTCATTGTTGCAAGTCAGAACATGACACATGCAATAAATAGAGACAAACTAGAATCACTCTTTTTATTTTGCTCAGAAATATTAAGGAGTGATACAAAAACCCTGTTCTTATCAAACAAAAAGAACAATACATGATTAAGCCTCTAGATCAGTAAAAGTGAAATACGCAAGCCGGGATTTAATAGCAGAGAGCCTTTCTTCGTGAGCGGCCTGCACCATCACCTCGGCTTTCTTCCTAAGGGCGCTTTCGTCCGGCGCAATTGCATTAGCTTGCTTTTGGAGAAGTTCAAGGTCCTGCACCGACGAACGGTAAGTGGCATAAGTTTTCACGCTTTCTAGTGTGAGCTCTTTCAAGATCTCTTCCTCTCGCGCGAGCTCAGCCTTGTGTCGAGCCAACGCCACCCTGAGGCGATCAGTTTCTACACGAGACGTTTGTATGGCAGCACCAGAAGCGTCCACAGCATGTTGCTTCTGAATGCATTGCCCCTGTAAGGATGTAATTTCAAGTTCCCTTTCAGTGATGGCTTCTTGAAAAGATTCATATTGGCGGGCCGCTTCAGCTTAAAGATTATCAAAGACTAACGCAGCCTGGGCAGCAAGATCAGCTCGATGCAATTCTTCCAAAGCCCTCAGATCTTTTTCCAACCGAGAGATGCCTTCGGAGCAATGCTGGAACAATCGAGCGTCATCCACATATCGAATGCCGTTCAAAGAGTTCATGAGTATTGGTTTGAAAAAATCGAATGAAGCTCGTCCAGCACCGATCTTCTCTATCGCTATCTTCATCATATCTTCCAACGGTCGTATAAGAACTTTTAGAATGGAAGGGATGACCACTGGACTTAGAGACTTCACCGGAGATGTCGATAGGGAGCCTAAAATCATAGACCCTGGTGCAAGAACAGTGGGTGACGATCGGGAAGAAGCCGGAGAAGCCATCGTGATGTCCAATTGTGAAGGACTAGAAGGAAGGACCATGAGTGTTCCTATTTGGGTTGAGCCTGGCGCATTCTCCATCACCACAGATTTTAGAGGAATCGTTAGCGAAAGAGTTTCTTCTAGCAAAGAACTTGTCGTCACCGGCATCGATTTAGAGGGAGGAATGTCTGCTGCTTATGGGTGGAGAGACGATGACGCATCAGCAGCCCCACGAGTTGGAGAACCTACACAAAAGAGCAGTCAGTATAAAAGAAAGAAACACCAGAGAAATCAAAGTGTGTAATTTCTACCAGTGGGGTAAAAAGGAAGATAATCGGACGCCTTGTCAGAAGAGGGTGGTGGCGGATCAGCCCAGCCAGCGGAATCATCACCACCACTTTCATCCTCATCAGCATCATCATTGTGAGACGAGCTCCCATAGTCTAACGGTTCATCATCATCTGCAGCTGAAAGTCTCGGAGAGCTCGAAGTCGTATCCACTTTAGTCATTCGGCCAGTCGTGGGACTAGGAATAATAGCCCCCGAATGGGGCAATAGTGCAGAAGAAGCGGGTGACTGACTCTCATTAAAATTTGCAAGTTCATCTGTCACCAGTTCATGGCAATAGTGCAGAAGAAGCGGGTGACTGACTCTCATTAAAATTTGCAAGTTCATCTGTCACCAGTTCATCTGTAGGCATTTTAACCCCTTCAGATGGAGATATTGCAGGCAGTGCCTCTGCAGATGAAAGAGTAGTACCTGGAGCTTGTTCTGTAAATGGTGAGATATCGGGGTCTATTATAGAAGAAGCCCCCATATCCCCAATTAGGGACTCATCTCCACCTTCTTCCTGATCCAAAGGACAGTGAGGGGAAAATTCTCCGGAGGAGGTAGGACACCCAGAATGAGGGTCGGTGTGATCGGGACGAGCTGCAGCAGTAGGTTCTTGCTCTTCCCCTCCACCGGCAGATTTGAAAGCATCCGCCATTAGTTTCTGGGCAGGAGGGTCTACTAGCAGTTTTCTGCGAGTACGCTTCTCGTACTGAACTTCTTCTGCTTCGGTAAGAGCCCTCTTTCTAGTTGCTTTTGTTCCTGGAGTTTCAGCAGCCTTGGGGCTTATTACCGGGGCACTCTCTAGTCCCAGTTCCCCTTCTTCTTCCTTAGCTTCATCTTCAAAATGTAAAAACTCGTCGATCCCCTTCAGACGAGATACGCGAGCTCCTTTCCGGGATGCGTACATCTTTCTAATATCCCGTAAACAGGATAAGTTCAGCTTGTAATTAGGTATCTGAGAAGCCGTGTGATACCAGTTACAGAAAGCTATAGAGAGAAGGGAATTAGGCGTCTTGTGGGGCAATCTGAAGGTAGCCCCAGTGCAATCTACGGTAGAATAATATCAGGCCCGAGCTCCTTCATAAATGTTGCCCGTAACCGAAAGTTGGCTCCTAGGGTTACCAACATAAAGTTGGTCATACCCAAATTGGCGAGCAAATCGGTACGGATGATACGGCTCGATTATGTACTTGTCATTTTGCCTAAGGAGAAGATAACCAGGTCTAATGTTTAATAGCCAATGGAAAACTCCCCCGTCTAAACGGGTAAAACCATTGGCACCAGCGGTATCTTGGAACATCTGCCCATATCCTCCACCATCAAAATCCAAACGGGTAAAACCATTGGCACCAGCGGTATCTTGGAACATCTGCCCATATCCTCCACCATCAAAATCCAGGAAGCAGCGGAAGATATCGTAATTGAGGTCTCTCGACAGAATTTGACGGACCTTCACTACGTAGGTGCCTATCCAAGTAGCCTCTTCTAATCTCTGCACGAAGGGGACGAAGCCTTCATCCGTAGGAGATGGAGCACTCATCAATTGCGCATAATGGGAGACGTACCAAGCCATCAAGTAAGTATACGGTAAGGGTACTCGAGGGTTTGGAGTCACCAAACTTTTCTTCCCTTCAAAGTCTATCTCCTTCACTTGAATGAACTCAAGACATAACTCCCTCAAACCATGCTGCAAACAACATGTCATAGCTGAAAGCAGATTTATAGGTCTCCCGTGAGCTAAGAGGACAGCCGGATAGGCTACTTTTATCATCACGGCATCTATCGTCCTAGTAGGGACCACACATCGCTTTAGCCATAGCATGAGAAAACCCGCCAATAAAGCCATGTTAGAGATGGGCGTGGCTGCCTGGTGGTGGAAGCTCTCAAATTCGGTTTGCACCGGGAAATCATCTTCTACCCCCTCGCTGACATAGTGAACGGTGGCGTCATTAATCAAAGCCTGAATGGCCTCAGGGGTGTTCACATCTCGACGAGACACTGTAGCAGTCTTATGGGACAAATTTTGGAAAAGGTATTCATCCCAAGATAGCTGTTTTATACCACGCCCACGAGATCCTGTCAGTTGGCTGCAGATTTGAAAATGACACATCACCTCCCATAGGGTGTCATATACATCGGGGTTCGTCTCCTTCAAAATCTTCAGTTCACTGGATCCGGGGACGAACTCTTCGTAGGGTAAATCTCCAAAAGGAAGACCTGAGACATCGAACATTTCATGCAGGGCAAACCCTAATTCTCCTTCCGGCGTGAAAAATGTACAAGTCTCCGGATTGTACTTCTCCAGAATAGCAAATAAATTATAAGGGCTAAGAGCAATACCATATTTGGTAGCCTTAATAGGACAACTAAGCCCAGATTGAGCTAATGGTCCCGTTAATTCTGCCAGCACGAATTCCGTCATTCGTGCCCACCATCCTGACTTGGTAGAATGAATCCATCTAGGAGTTCTAAAATACTGCAGAGGGGAATTCTCCTTTTGCGGCCATAAACTTCGTATGAAGATATTGGCTGTACTAGCCGTTTCTCCTAAAGGATATCCCCGTGAGAATAAGCAGGGTTCCAGGGCTGACAATTGGCGATTATAACCAACGGTATGTACACCCTTGTAAGTCACAACCCGAACAGCTACCCCATCCTGCTATCTCACTAAGTCCCAATTCATGTGGCGGGGAACAAAAGCACATTGGTAATAAGAGATGGGAAACATCCTGTGCATATCAGGGAGGAAGAAGCGACGATCCCCGATTTGCCTTAGCCATTTGTAATGGCCGCCGTGCACGATCTCTTTTGAGATGGTGACACGATCCCCAAATAAAAAAGCTGGTTTGGTGAGCTTCTTGCGGGACTCAGTCTCAAACTTAGCATCCGTGACTAAAACCCTAAGTACAGCTGAACTTGGATTCGAGATCAGGGTGACACGATCCTTGTTGGAATCCTGGAATATCGGGAGTTCTTGACGCAGGTTGAATTGCATATTTAAATCTACGCCGCCCTCATGCCCAAAGTGGTGACGAAGATTAAGAGGTTCACGGGTGTAAGGCACTGCAAAAAAGAAAAAGTACTCAATTAGTACTTAATCAGTCAACAGAGAAGTCAAACAAGGGGAGCTTTAGTCGAATCTATAAAAAGAGAAGAAGCCATCAAACGCACAGTTGAAATCTGGCGTTCAAAAGTTTATCAACGCTGAGGTCGAACCCTGCGTTAAATTTCCAAACGCACAGTTGAAATCTGGCGTTTAAAAGTTTATCAACGCAGAGGTCGAACCCTGCGTTAAATTTCCAAACGCACAGTTCAAATCTGGCGTTAAGGCTTATCAACGCAGAGGTCGAACTCTACGTTAAATTTCCAAATGCACAGTTCAAATCTGGCGTTAAAGTTTATCAACGCAGAGGTCGAACTCTACATTAAATTTTCAAACGCACAGTTCAAATCTGGCGTTAAAGTTTATCAACGCAGAGGTCGAATTCTGTGTTAAATTTCCAAACGCACATTTCAGATCTGCCGTTAAAAATTTGTTAACGTAGAGGCCAAGCCTAAACGTTTCAAATTCAAAACACAAAGTCCCAACTCTGCGTTACGGAATCAAAACGAGTCGTCTTCCTCGTTCGCAAGAACCCATCTAGGGTTTTCAGAGAACTCGCCAAAGCAAGTTTGGTGGCTGTGGAGTTCGATACTTAGCGACGCTGCAGCAGCGGTCGATCTTGGACGAATAACAGTCCTCTTTTTCGGACCCATAGAGGATGAAAATCGTAGAAGATGAACAGGGTTCACCGGAGTAAAAAAACGAAGAGTCTTCGTTAAAAATCTTTCGAAAAAGAGGAGGCAAAAAGTCGGATGACTTTTGATTTGACCCTTAGCGGTCTATTTAAAGACAGCTATGAGCTGTCAAATCGGGACGAGATTCTAGGCCCAGAATCCCGCCGAACGTGGCCTTTACGTCAGCGTTGCTTGAACTTCCGAACGCAGAGTTCAACCCTGCGTTTTAATGTTTCAGCACAAAGGAATCTACCTGTGCGTCAGCGTTGCTTGAATTTCCGAACGCAGAGTTCAACCCTGCGTTTTAATGTTTCAGCACTAAGGAAATCTACCTGTGTGTGCTAACTCAACTAAACGGATCCCTCTATGTTTAAAACCAAGACATGGTTCCAAATAAATAGAGAGAGACTGATGTCAGCTATCAAGGTGACTAAAGCCAAGAAGAAACAGGCGACTCCACTGTGGAGTCTGTTGGATGAGTACAAACAGATTACGATCAGCGACAATAAAACTTTCAATCTTAATTCTACGCACAACCAAGTTCACGATGTCTTCAGATTAGATGGAGTGAGCAATCAATCCATTAAATTTTGGGATCCAAAGTATTCCGAAAATTCGTCCCAGTCAACCGCGAACTTTCGAAAACTTTGGAGGGGGTTCTGTAGGCTGTCTAAAAATCACAATAGATAGTCGATCCCCATAAAGCCCCGATAATGGAAGTCACAATCAGACAACTTTTTAATCACTGCATCCGCAACTCTACAACTCCTACGAACACGACCTCATCTCTGAGATGATTGATCTTGATGGCTGCGATAATAGTATGACTAATATTATATTGGCAACTATTAGAGATGCTGATGAGCAGTGTAATGATTTCAGAAATAAAAGGTTGGACTTAGCTGGTGAGTTGCTTGGTAGAGAGCTGTGGGCAAATATTCATCTAAATATTTGTCTAAAAGTCACTATGGATGGTTGATTCCCGTCAAGTTTCAACAATGAAAGCTACAATCAAATAGCTTTCGTGCCGACAAACGAAGGTTGCAAATAGGAGACTTTTCACACAGATCGAGAAGAGTTACAATTCAACGACGCTTCCGACAGTTGACGAAAACTCTATTCAATGACCTTCACAATCAACAGTGAGAGTTACAATCTGACGACTCTCATATCCTATAACAGGCAAAGATCAATAATCAGTGGCCTTTGCAGTGTTATAATGGACGAGGTTACAAGTCAACAACCTCTTTCAAACGCAGAACTCACTTCTGCGTTTCTCAAGTTCAAAACGCAAGGTCCACATCTGCGTTTCCCAAATTCAAAACACAGACGAACTGTGCGTTCTCCAATAGACGTCTAACTCTGCAACGCAGAGTTAAAACACAAAACGCACGAACTATGCGTTCTTCGGCAAACACTCAACACTGCGTCCCAAATCCAGGACGCAGAGTTGAGAACTCAACACATGAGCGACCTGTGTGTCTCAAATCTCTAACAGAGATTTAACTCTGCGTCTCAAGCCTTGGACGCAGAGTTAAGGCCCAGAACGCCAACTGGGGCATTTTGACTTGTTCAAACACAGCCCGAACGGCCTCAAAACCGTTATCCCACATTCTGAGGGATTTTCGCCCACTTAGGAGCGGATTTAGGGGTTGGTTACACCCCTAATCCCCTATAAATAACTGACTTACTCATTTGAGTAGGAGGTTGACGTGCGCTGGCATCAAAACCGCATAAGGTTAGCAAATCTCGGCAGTTGAACCGCACAGAGAAGGCGATTTTCTAAGAGGTCAAAGAACTGATCATCAATCAGTTAATCAAATCTAAAAGAATCCCTTCACCAACAGCAGATTTACTTGGCTATTAACCGAATTTTCGGTTCTAACAACTCTGTCACAGAGTTTCAACTCGTTTTGAGTTCTTAAACTCGTTAAGAGTTCTTAATTAGACTTGCAACGCAAGCTAATTACATTAATCGATCATTCAGTTTTCAACAACTCTTTTCAGAGTTTTCAACTCGTTCTGAGTTTATTAAATTTGTTAAGATTTCTAAACCGAATTCATCAAACAAGTCAATCGTTCCAGTGAATTAAGACGGTCGGATCGTCAACGGAGAGCAAGTTCGACACA